AGGGACCCAGTTCTAGGGGGCAGTCCTTGTCTCCTCTCACTCTCTGTGGGCCCAGTGGGCCTTATCGCTCTCTCTAGGCACCTTGGTATCAATCTTCCCAAGTCTAGGAAGTTCTCAGCACAGGAACCTGGGGTCAATCCTTTCTTGACAGTAATGAGGTTCCTTCGTCTTTGCTCATGTCCCTCACCTTTTATCTTTTCTCAGATAAAAGTGAAGCCAGCCATACCCCAGGACAACTCCCCTTAAATGGGTAAAGGGCAGTGAGCTGAGTAAGGGTGTTGTATCCTATCCTAGCTCCAGCTAAGGCTTTCTTATTGGTATGGTGGTTCTGTGCCGTGGAATCAGATCCGACTCACAGCGACCCTGAATACAGTTTCCGAGGCTATTATCTTTATGGGAGCAGAAAGCTTCATCTTTCTCCAGACCAGCTGGTAGTTTTGAACTGCTGACAATGAGGTTAGTAGTCTGACTCATAACCACTACCCTACCTGAGAGCTCCTAAGGCTTTATTATTTGTTCATCTTACTACTGCATTAGATCACATGACAGGGGGAAGAGTACATCATTATTTAACTATCAAACCACCAAGAATCATAGCCCTGCCAAATCCACACATACGGGGTGGGGGTGAGGGATACAATTCAATCCACGATATCTACCTCAACTCAAAGGCATAAAGACAGAGCCAGAGATACAAGACAGTATAAAAACTTTTAGATCTTGGGAAAGGAAGTCTTTGTCAGGACACAGACGACTATTTATAGAAATATTATAAAGACGGTTGTTGTTAGGTGCTGCTCAGTCAGCTCACAGTGACCCACGGACAGCAGGAAACTGCCCAGCCCTGCACCGTTCTCACAATCACTGACATGTTTGAACCACTGTTGCAGCCACGTATAAAGATTAAGGAAACGTCATTTAAAAAAATTTATTACATAATAAACAATAGTGACAATTCAAAAATCCAAAGAAAATTACATTATCATTTTCAGACAGACTGTTTTCATTGTCTTTTTTTGGTATTGGTTAAATAAATCACAGTAGTTATGCCTAGACATTGTTTCTCATAAATTTATCACAAAACCCCTTTCCACAGTTTCATCTTTACAACTATCATATTAGTGACTTGAATTATGTTCCACTGACTTACAGGATACATTTTTATTCACTTTCCAATTGTTAGCTGGTTAGGCTATTTCCAATCTCTTACTACAAGGCCTATCTTCAGGCCTAACTTTACCCCCATGAACAGTGTCCCTGGAGGGAGGCAGAACAGTATCAGCAGCACAGGACTGGAGGCAGATGGCCTAAATCCGGGCTCTTACGGACTGGCTGTGTGACTTTGAGTAAGTTCCCTGTTTCATAAAACAAGGAGTGCTAGTACCTAGCCCACAGTATTGGTCTGGACTTAAATGAGATAATACATGTAAAGTGCTTGGAGCCGTGCTTGGCACACCACACACTCCCAGGGAAGGCTAACGGGCAGTCGGAGGTAGCGAACTCACTCTTCAGGGGTCCTCGGTTGTAGACCATTTCTCTCTTTCTGTCTCCCCATGAATCTGACTCCAGCTGCAGTCTTTGCTTTGCTATCACCTCAAAATGACTCGATACACCTATCCTACCCCAAGGTACCCTCCCTAGGTTGAGGACTGGCTGGGAAATGGACAAGGAAGTCTGCGGGGTCTTCTGTAATCGTGACTTCCTCATGAGACCAGCAAGGGCCCTGGAGGGGAAGCTCGAGGCCCTTCTTGGTTTCAACCATCCTTTTCCCGGGGTCAGTGTTTGACCCACTGTGGGAAAAAACCAACCAGTGCTCCCCCATGTCTTTTTATTGGGGTACTGATCACAGACAGAAGTGAGTGCACAAAACTCATTCTTTGGATAAACCACCAAGTCTCCATGACCTACCAGCCTTCCCTGTGTCCCCACTCTCTTGCTAACTGGCTTCAGCTGTCCACCAGCATGGTGACAATGCAGCACAAAGAAAACCCAAAGCCACCACCACTTCAGCCAAGAGCAATGAGAGGCAAGAAGAGGGGCCCCAAGGGGAATGCATAATCTAAAGGATTCAAAGGCAGAGCAAGTGTCAGAGCCTGTGGCTCAAGTGAGCCAGAGAACAGTTTTACACAAGCCAAAGAAAACTCAGAATAGGAATAAACCTAAAAATAGAAAGGAAAACTGAGGAGGAAGTGTTTGTACTTTTGTTGGTTGAGCTGAACATGCAGCTGTTTTGTTACTAAGATGAACAGAGTGGAAGGGATCTGAAAGTGGGCCCCGGCCAAACAGTCTGAATGAGTAAATGAGTCTGTTCCACAATCAGGGAGAAAACTGACTTCTGGACACCAGTACGTAGGAGAGTGTTTCCAAGATCTTCCTTTCTGCTTTGAGGCAGACCTAGGCTTTGTGCTTGGGAAAGGAGACCACAGGCTCCCAGTGCCGCAGGATATTCCCAGCCAGGTGACAGTGGAAAGAACCGAAGGTCTGGAAGCTCAGGCTGTAACACAGCCAGGTCACAACCTAGCTCTTGGCCCAGGAGCTGGTTAGTAAAATGCCTCTGAACTTCCGTCTTCTCGGTCAAAACCAAGGCCACTTACAGGAGAAACCCAAGTTTTATTCCAGCACCACACAGAATCCCAGAGGCCTGAGGTGGGGCAAACAGTCAAAGGATATCTGGTAGCTGAGAGCACAGGTCAAGCAAAGGAGGCAATACAGAGATTATATTTCATCCCTGGAAGCGACCCAGTGTGGTTAAGAGAGGCGGGGGAATTCCTTTGGATTGTGACTTAGAACACCATCTTAGTGACTAGAACAGAATTTTAGGCAATTACCTATTTTAAAAGGGATCTGCCAAAATTAAAAAAACAAAAGGCAAGACAGAAATGTTTATAAAACAGGTACAAGAAAGGTGAACAGCTTAGGGTTGAAATTATATCCAGCACTGGGAAAGAAGACAGATGCATTGGGAAAGGAAGCTCAAGGACTCCATTCCATCACTGTTTGAGAGGACACCCCAACCAGTGCGTCTGACTGGAACCTCTGGAGTGCTGTTCAACAGGCCGGGATCCAGGTCTCTTGTGAGAACTAGGTAGGGCTTGAGGGCTTCACTCGAAGCGGCTCAATACATTCTGAGCACCTGAAACAACTCCTCACCTTCATGGACACTGGCTCCTCCTCTACCAAACTCTAGAACAGATTTCTAGACAGCTATCTTCACATGCAACATGCTAAAAAAACCCCAGCCACAGCAGATTCTATACTTTTGCAGGAACAGATCCTATAATCTGCTCAGTTGCTCACAATGTCCCCCCCATGTCTCAAATGTGCTTTGACAGAAGTGTCTACCAGGCGCCGGGCACTCTCTGAAGCCATGAGATAGTAACAAGACAAGGCCTCTTATTTTCTTGAAGCCTCTCTCTCTCACTCATCCCCAAGGTCCAGCTCAAAGCTCTCCTATTCATGTATGAGCATGAACTTCGACCTCCCTTATCCTCTCCTAGAGTATTTCTATTAGCACTATCTTGTGTAGCACTTGGGTGTTAAATGTGTCTTCCGGTTTGGACTACACACTTCTTGAGGGTAAAGTCCTGATACCCAGTTCTATAAGAGTGCCTCCCCGCTCTGCAAGCAGCTGTGGTTTAGATGCTGAGAGAGATTTCTAGTTCACTCCAGCACCAGTCAGCTTATGGCTTCCCGCCCCTGATCAGAGCTCTTACTGGAAACAGCCGTAAGCTGCCAGAAACAGACAAGGACACACCTAAAAAAACCACCTGGACCATCTGGATCACCACCTGATCCTGCCTTGGAGCCTAGTTTGGGTCAATCAGATGGAAAGAACACTTTGGGGAACAATTAGAAATTCGGAGCACAGACTGACAATTAGATGCTACTAAGGGGTTACCGGCTTTTATATAATGTACAGAAAGGAGCCTTGGTAGCACAGTGGTTAAGAATCAGGCTGCGAACCTCAAGGTCCGGCAGTTTGAATCTACTAGCCGCTCTGCGGGAGAAAGCTGAGGCTTTCTGCTCCCATAAAGATTTACAACCTCGGAAACCCTATGCAGAGTCACTATGAGTCGGAACCAACTTCACGGTACACACACAGCCACCACTATAAAATACAGAAAATATAGCTGATATTTTAGATTTGGAAAGTATAGTACTGATGGATGCAATGTTGAGATGTCTGTTATTTTCATTAAAATACTTCAAAATAAAAGAAATAAGTTATAAAACCAACCACCTGCAGCTAACAAAAGACCTGCCAGAGAAGTGATTATACCCAGTCTTCCATTTGTCATGGTCACTCTGTCAGTGAGTGGTCACTCTCCAGAACCATGGTGACAAATGCCCCACCAGCACAGAGAGACCTGGGGACCCAATAATCAGAGCTGATGAGCCGGCATGAGGTGGCTCTTGGAGTGGGTCTCTGGGTAGGCCTTCCTCTTCATTATAGTCTCGTCTGCTGTTGTTACCAAGGTGACAAGAGGAAATGGCCAGCTCACCATTCACTGGCACACACCAGGTCTCCTGGTGACACAGTGACAACTGGCCTCTGGTTAAAGAGTAGCTTGTCCCTCGGATGGGGATCGCCACCAATCTGAAAACCACAATCTTGCCATTGTAGACTGCGCAGTGCTGATGTTCCCAGTCTCTGCTTGCAGCCCACGGGGGTAGAGTTCTCCTGAAGCCCTACTGGGCTGAAGATACTGATGGGGGTAGGGGTGGGGAGGGGGTCAGGTCCTGGCTTCTCCATCTGGTTTCACAATCCAAGCTCCTTCACGCTGCATCTCACCTTTCCACGGCCCTACGTGGAAGCCAGTCCCCGGTCAGATGCAGGCTGTTGGCACTGACTGCCTTTGCCACAGTATGACTCCTTATGATTAAACCAGAATGGAGAAAAACTTAGCATCAGCGAACCAACAGGGAATTCCAATTTTATTTTTCAAAAAAGTCACTCTCATCCCAGTTCTCTTCGGGAAGGGGCTGGGACATTTCCATCTTCAAGATGAGCACAAAGACTCCCACTGCCGGAATATTCGGAATACTTTCCTTGATTTCTCAGAGAGACTCTAGAAAGAAGAAAGCTTCCATTAAAGATTAAATTCTTTGATAGAGACAAAGGACCGGTACCAAAACGGACCTCAGAGCCAATTTCCTCCAAACGAGAAATGCTCTGAGGTTTCTTTTCGGTGACAATGACAAAGGGAGTTATGAGGATCTCGGTAGAGAGACAGCCATATGCAAAGACAGGCTTCATCTCTCCAGTTTGAGAGGTGGATCACAGTGTTCTATCCTTGTAAAAGTTGCTAATGAGGGAAATGTTGGGTCTTTCCTCTAACTCGGAACCCTTCACCTGCGCACAGGCTCGCCTGGGCTCCGCCTGACTCTAGTCCCATCAAGTGACGTCAGCTGGCAGGCATTGCTTCACTTGGTCCTTGGGACTCAGAAGCCAGAAAGTATGTTTCTACCAGGCTGTAGGGCAAATGGGGCAAGCAAAGGGAACACAGGGAACTCAGCTCCAGGGATGTCCCTATGCCCCCCATGACATCAACCCTTCACACCGAGCCAACACGGCGCTGCTTCTCCAGGCGTCAGGAGGGACTGGGCTGTGCCCACAGTTGGACCCAGCAGCAGTCAGTGCTGCAGCCGGAGACTGTGGTCTCGAGTAACATACCCAGTGTGGGGACAGAATCGTCACCTCATGTCAAGCACACAGAGCTCCAACAGCTCCGTTCGCTGCCAGGTTCCAAGGACAAGTTATAGCAATGGATGGAAAAGGCAGCTGCGGTGCAACCTGAGGCCGCAGCAGCTGCGGAGTCATTTATTCATTTATTTCTGGGTCTGCACGCCTCCACTTTGCCTCCCTTTAGCTGGGAAGACCAACGAAGCAGTTGCCCGAGTCAGAAAGAGGGCCAAGTGCTGCCCTGCAGGGAGCCTGACTCAGTTCTACACTGTTTTCTAGGAGAAATCTGAATGAGCCTTAGCTGACTCAGAAAAGCGACAGGGGGGCATGGTCCTCTCACCAGGGAGTCGGCCTCGGCAGGCTGCTTGGACTGGGTGTGAGCCAAAAGGGTGTTCAGCACCGTCTTCCAGCCTGGCTCGCTGGGGGAGCTGTCCTCAGTTCCACCACTCTCCTTGGTTTCCTCGTCAAGGGTGATACTCACCCAAGGGCACCAGTCTCTATGCTGAGAGGTAGGATCAAAGAAACTTCGAGAAGATGTGTCCTGGGGGAGGAGGGAAGACGAACAGGATTAGTGACCTACTGTGAGTCTGAGGAGGTGGCACCATGTCTACAACTCACAGCTGCGCACATCTTTAGTCTTGAGCCGAGTTGCCTCTGAGCGGTCGATGCTCTTCATTCTCGCACTTTTCTTGTGTTAGACACACCCATCAGGTTTTATTCCCCTAGCTTACTGCTAGCCTGGAAGACTGACCACCACGCCAGAATCCAGCCCAAAGGAACAAATGGCAGCTCTTCCATCTCCTCCCTTTGGTCCCAGGCCTGTCTTACCTTTAGACTTTTAGCCCCAGGCCTGCTTCTCAGGGACCTACCGAGCTGCTGGAAGAACACAGGCGAGCTCGCTTGGCTTTCCGCAGAGGGCTAGACGGTACTTCCAGGCCAGGGGTGTCTCCCGTTCCCATGCTTCGGGTCACTGGGCGGCTTCGGGGGGTGGGGCTGGCGGCCTCTGGCTCCGGACGGTCAACAGGACTGGATGAGTCCCAGCTCCGAGTTCGGAAGATGATGGGAGCTGGGCTCTTTTCAGCCTGAAGGAGAGGGGTGATCACAGCAATAGGTAGGTGGTAACTTGTCTTTGTGTCTGCTCTACTTCACTCAGCATGTGCCAGAACTTTCTCTTTGTGGCTGAGTACTATTCTGGCACAGAGGGACCACACTTGTCTATCTGTTCATCTACTGGGCTGTACCTGTTCACCTACCAGGCTGTACCTATTCATCTACTGGGCTGTACCTGTTCATCTACCGGGCTCTATCTGTTCATCTACTGGGTTGTACCTGTTCATCTACCGGGTTGTATCTGTTCATCTGCTGGGTTGTATCAGTTCATCTACTGGGTTGTTTCTACCTTTTGATTGTTGGGAAGAGTGTTGCAGTGAACATTTGTGAACAGATTCTGTTTGGGTCCCTGCTTTGTGCTTTTGAGTCTGAGTAGAACCTAAGGTTCCGATAAAACTTTTATAGAATTTTGCTTCTCCACTGCAGCTGATGAAGAAATAGCACCATGCGGTATATTCTGATCAGTGTGGTTAGAGGCAACACTTACCCACTAAGTTCATTTCCCCCTCTTCTACCAACAAGAGTTTTGGCAAAAATAGTTTTTAAACATCCAATCCACAACAGCAGACATTATATTCAATGGTAAAAGACTGAAAGCTTTCTCCTATGATCAAGAACAAGCCAAGGATGCCCACTTTCATCACTGCTATGCAACAAGGTTCTAGCTAAAGCAACTAAGCAAGAAATAAAAGGCACCCAAATTAAAGTAGGAATCCTGGTGTGGCACCGTAAGATAAGCACTGGACTGCAAGGTCAGTTTAAATGGCAAGGTTGATGGTTCAAACTTAACAACCATTCCTCGGAAACCCCAGGGTCACTATGAGTTGGAACCGACTCAACAGCACTTAATAACAACAAGTCAAAGTAAGAAATAAAACTATATTTATAGACAAGTAAACATATCTTTAGAAAATCCAAAATACGCCACAAGAAAATTATTAGCAGTAATAAATGAATTCCCCCAAATTGCAGGCTACATGACAATACACAAAAATAAGTTTTTACACACTAGCAATGAACCACCTGAAAAGGAAATGAAAACTACAATTCCATTTTCAATACCTAAGAATAAATTTAACCAGGGAGGTGAAAAGATACACAAATGGCCAGTAAGGACATGAAGAGATGGCTCAACATCACTAGCCATTGTTGAGAGCTATCAAATCAGTTCCCATTCCTAGCAACTCGGGTTCGACTCATAGTAACCCTGTATAGGGTTTCCAAGGAGCAGCAACTGACCCAATGACCTTGCAGTTAGCCATCCAGTACTTCTCTTACAGGACTCCCCAATTAGCCATTTGTTGGCAGTGCCATCACCCAAACTCATAGCGACCCTGAGGAGCAGCTGGTAAATTCAAACCACTGACCTTGCAGTCCGTCCAGTGCTTATCTTACAGTGCCACAAAAGGACTCTCATTAGCCATTGTTAAGTGCCTTCGAGTCAATTCTGACTCACAGACCCTGTGCAGGGTTGCCAAGGAGCGGCTGGTGAGTTTGAACTGCAGATCTTGTGGTTAAAACCAAGCTTGAAGTTGAGTGCTTATTCTATAGTGCCACACCAGGGCTCCATTATTGTTGTTGTTGTTAAGTGCCATCAAGTAGGTTCTGACTCATAGTGACCCTATATAGGGTTTCTGAGGAACAGCTGGTGAGCGTGGACAAATGTCTTGCGGTTCAAACCCACCTTGCAGTCCAGCGCATTAACCCATAGCACCACTCCACAGGACTCCACTGGTGGTGGTTATATGCTGTGGAGTCGGTTCCAACTCATAGAGACCCTTTTTAGGGTTTCCGGGACTATAAATCTTTACGGGAGCAGAATGCCTCAGCTTTCTCCCGTGGAACCACTGGTAGTTTCGAACTGCTGACCCTGAGATTAGCAGCACTACACTCCCAGAGAGCTCCTTACGACTCTGTTGTTATGTGCCGTGGAGTCCGTTCCAACACATAGTGACCCTGTCCAGGGTTTCTGAGGCTGTAAATCTTTATGGGAGCAGAAAGTCTCATCTTTCTTCCATGGAACAGTTGGTAGTTTCAAACTGCTAACACCGGGATTCTTCATCACTTCGCTACCAGGGCCCCTTTAGGACTCTGTTAGGGAGCTCTGCTGTTGCTGTTATGTGCTGTGGAGTCAGTTTCGACTAATAGCGACTCTGTACAGGGTTTCCGAGGCTGTAAATCTTTACGGAGCAGAAAGCCTCATCTTTCTCCTATGGAACAGCTGGTAGTTTCGAACTGCTGACCTTGATGCTCGCAGCCCCATTTGTAACCACTGTACTCTGTACCAGAGCTCTTACTAGGATGGCCGTTATCAGAAACCTGGAAAATAAGTGCTGGCCAGGATGTGGAGAAATTCGAAACCTCTCCATAATTGGAGATTGCAAAATGGCACAGGTGCTGTGGAAAAGTTTGGTGGTTCCTCAAAAAGTTAAACGTAGAATTACCAACAATTGTACTCCTAAGTATTACTACCCAGACTTGAAAGCAGGTATCCAAACAGATGCCTGGTCACAAAGAGATATCGCAGCTCTCTTTCTCTTCATAACCATCAAGAGGTGGAAACAACTGCAGATAAACCAGTCTGGTCTATCTGCATGATAAAATACGAGTCAATCACAAGGAGAAAGTGCTGACACACCCAACTACAAGGATAAACCTTGACAGTGAAATCATCAAGCTGAGTGCAGTAAACCAGACACAAAAGGACAAATACGGTCCCACAGGTATGAAACGTCTACAATCGGCAAATGCATGCAGACACAAGCTGATTACCAGAGGAGGAGCCAGGGGAGTTTCCGCTTAAGGGGTACTGAGCTGCTGTTAAAGGTGATGAAAAACATATTTAGAAATGGAGTAATGCGAGGGTTGCAAACCATGGTGAGTATCATGAATGTCACTGAATGCATATGAAAATGATTCAAATGATTCATCTTTTACTTTATGTTTCACTACAAGAACTTATAGCAAGAATTATTTTTCCAAAACTCCATCGCAAGCAAGCCACATTCATACCTGCTCTGAGACTGGGGAAAACGTGACATCCTGGCTGCGGGTCATCATCCTCCGAGGGGACTCAGGCACGAGCGGGAAGCGTTCTGGCCGCCCCTCAGGGCCCGTGATGGGGGAGCTGCTCAGACTGCAGACCTCCAGGTCTGTAATGGATGACTCCATCTGCTGGAAGGCCCAGAGCCCCACCTTCCTCAGACACTGGGAGCACGTCATCAGACAGAGCTGCATGTGCTCCGGAGAGGAACTAGGACAGGACAGAGGACGAGAGACGTTTTCTCAAAGTGTAGCATTTCCAAGGGGCTCAGCACAATGACTCCTGAGTCTTCCTTATCCCCTCAAACCAACTCGGGAGCACCCTCTGAGTCCTCCCACCTCAGGACTCTGCCTTCATCCCCTCACTCACACTTCCTACATGAAGATCCAGAGGCTCTGAGATGCTCTCTTTGGCAGGACTACTTGCAAGGTAACTTTTATAACTATTTTCATTGAAAAGGCTCCTTAAGAGATCAAAGAAAGTACATTTCATATAAAGCCAGCTTGGCCTGACGGATTTCTGGCACAGCAGGAGCCTGCCGAACTGAGCTACTGGAATGGAAACACAACACCAGGGCCCCAGTGACTCCCGCTGGGGAGTTTCCTTTCGGAGGTTTTATCAATTGAACAGACTTTATTTCCTTTCTAAAAATAGACAGGCACTTCGGATGTTATAGGGATGCAAATTCCCAGCTGGGAAGCAACCATGAAAGCAATAAAGCCTAGATGTGAACACTAACAAATCCTGACTTCTAATTCTGGTTTTACTACGCTTTCTTACTGTCCCCCAGTTTTTCTCTGGCTCTATTTTTCTTCCAAGAAATGCATGTGATTTCCAGATAGTACTAGTGACTGAGGGACCTAGGTGTGTACAGTTATAAAGCCAAATGGCCAACTCACCTGCATGCCCAGCCACACACGGCAAGAATGCAGGCAGTGACATGGACTTGGATGTCAGAGGCGAGTTTGGTTGCAGTTTTCTTCTCATCACTTCGGTGATCAAGTTCTTCTTCAAGCAGATGGAGGAGAAGACTAATCCTGTCTTCTGTCAAGCCCTGCAAAGGAGTCAAGGTTGAAAACGTAAAAGGTTTCAACACTAAGAAGTTATGTATAATGATGTAGCTGGATGGTCCAAGGCAAAAATCATCAAAGAAATAACTCCCCCATCAAGACAGTACCACATAACACTACCCAAAGCAATCTATCTATCTAAAGCAATCCCAATCCACATTCTAAAGTCATTCTTTAAAGAGATGGAATAATGAATCACTACCTTTTTATGGAAAGGAAAAGAAACCCCAGATAAGCAAAGCATTATTAAAACACAAAAACAAAGTAAGAGGCCTTACTTTCCAAACTCAAAACCTACTATGCAGCCACAGTAGTCAAAACAGCTTGGTATTGATACAATGAAGGACATCGATTAATGGAACAGAATTGAGACCTCAGAAGTAAAGTCATCCAATAACGGTCAGTTTATCTTTGACAAAGCGCCAAAATGCATTAAATGGGGAAGTGATAGTCTCTTCAACAAATGGTATTGGCAAAATTGGAAATCCTTTTGCAGAAAAATGAAGTACCCTATATCACACCATATGCAAAAATGAACTCAAAGTGGATTAAAGGCCTAAATGTAAAACCTAGAACTCTAAAGATCATTAAAGAAATATAAGGAGAAACTTAGGGGCTCTGATACATGGCATCAATACACAATGAAACACAACTGAAAACACACAAAGAGAAGCCAAAATAGATGACTGGGGCCTCCTAAAAATTAGACACTTAGGTACATCAAAGTATTTCACTGAAAGAGTAAAGAGAGGACACACAGACTGGGAAAAACTTTTTGTCTGATATATCAGACAAAGGACTATTCTCTAAACTTTATAGAATAATTCAACAAGAAAATAATCCAATTAAAAAAAAAAGGGCACATGACATAAACAGACACTTCACCAAATAGAAGACATTCAGGCTGCCAACAAACATAAGAAATGCTCACGATCATTAGCCCTTGTTGTTGTTGTTAGGTGCCACTGAGTTGGCACCAACCCATAGGGATATGGGTTCTGCACAGCAGAACCAAATACTGTCCGATCCTGGGCCAACCTCACTACTGTTGCCACGCTTGAGTCCATCGATGCTGCTACTTGGCCAATCCATCTCATTGGGGGTCTTCCTCTTTTTCTCTG